ATATATATATATATGTGTGTGTATGAGAGAGAGAGAGATCGATCTATATACACACACATTCTGAGTCAACATAGATGACCATCCTGTACAAAAAGGTTGCATTACTATTAAAAGGGAACTCCCGGCTCACAAACGTCCAGTTAAATATCTTCCTCAACACTCACAAGGGATATACTTCTGCTGTTACCATATATCTGCTGCAGTAGATATATGCCTCAACATTAAAAAAATTTTAAAAAGTTGCCAAATACCAACAAACGTACCTGTGTCAGCGCTGCTCGCTCCCGGCTGCAGAAAGTCCAGCTCTCGGAACGCTGTGAAGGAGGAAGGGTGGGTGCATGCGCAGTGCAGAGCATTGGAGGGGAGAGGAGGAGAGCAACGCTGAAGCTGGATGGACGCAGCCGTGATTACACGCGTCAGACAGACACCGCGGGACCCAAGTAGTCTGCGCTGGATCAGAGACCGACGCCAGCGCTGGAGGGACTTTGGAAAATGAGTGAAAGGAAGAAGCTGTTCGTATCAAGAGGCATCACATAAGGTAGGTCCTTACAGCACTATTGGGGGAGGGTAATAACTGCCTTTTAATGTCACTTAAAATATAGCATTGAGTTATTGTCTCTGCTATCATGGTCAGTAGGGGAAAAATTGATAATGTTTTGTTGTTTGTCTAGAAAATGGAAAATCTGAATTCAGAAGCTCCAAGTCCTACAAAAGACACCATCGTAAAGGAACAGGTACATTTGCAGTAGTTGTTACATGTTTTAATAGGTCATTAAACATGAATCTGTTTATGGTGAGCCTACAATCTTGTGTTCCGTATTCCTGGGTGCCTGTCACAAGCAGATTCCACTCTGCCACTAAACATATAGTTACAATACTAAGTACAAAGATGCTCTTTATCATGTAAGGGTTGCGTGAACCCGCAGTGCACGGGTAAAGAGGACTCAAAGCTGTATTACTTACCTAGTCCTCTGTCCCATTGGCTCCCTCCAGGCTGCTAGACTGATCCTCGCAGCCTCCTCTTCCACAGACTCCCAGTTGTCCAAGGACTGCTGACCTAATCATGTCTTATGCAGGACCATTGACCTGGATTATACATGAGGATGCCAAGGGACATTCCATAGACAGAGCAGAGGGGAAGAGTGGTGAGCACTGACCGCCGAGCTGCAGTGCGGGGCTATGTTTATTTTACCTGGAGTTCTTGTCTAACGAAACCAACTACTTTTACAATTTTCATATTACCTGGAAGTCATCCAGTGATGTCACATGGGACAAGTCGGTTATCATACGTATTATTTTAACATTCAGATAGGCTATATTGAATTGCTAGTATACCGTGTATGAGCCAAGGTAGGGTTAGGTCTGGTCTATAGGTGTGTCATTACAGTGGCATGTTAGACCAGTTTGGGCTGATAATTGGATACCCAGGATGTTCACATAGCAAGTGTTGGAGAACACATTTTTCACATTTCCAGATGCACTTTTTTTTCCAAACGTGATGTGCATTGGTGCTCGGGTTTGAGTGAAGTTGCTAACTGCTATTTAAATGTAACCCAAGGGTTGTACACTTTTGTTGTAAAGTCACTTGACAGCGCATGTCTGTTTTTTGTTTTAGATACTTCTAAAAGGAAAATGGGTGCAGCTTGAGGAAACTACATATGTTGACCACGAAGGAACAACAAGGTTGGCGTCAGCTTCCAGCTCTGCTACAATATTGTATTATTTTTATATCTATCTCTCTATCTATCTCTATATCTATCTATCTCTATATCTATCTATCTCTATCTATCTATCTCTATATCTATCTCTCTCTATATCTATCTCTCTCTATATCTATCTCTATAAGGTAGGAATTTTGGGCAGAAGAGACATGCAAGATCTCTTTTGCCCAAAACATTCTTCCTCTCTGTCCCAGCGATTTAATTTCTGTGTATATACTAAGCCAATTGAAGGCATCTTTAAGATGATATGAATGAGCCGGGTTGCCAGGAAAAATGTAACTCCTGGCAGAAGTGGTGGGGGACAGAGCTGAGGACTGAAGGTCGATCGCACAGTTCTGGGGAAAGCATCACTTGTACGGTAAGGCTGTATATACCTGCACATTAGGGCAAAAACCGAACATTTACAAAGTGTTTGACTTCCACTTTAAATGTGGACAGGTATAAAATTATATAATATGTAAAACATATGTAGCAAAAATGCAGCATTGGTTTTCAGCTTGTACCAATTTAATATTTCTTATTTCAGCACAGCTCAGGGTCCTGTTATACCCTCATGCAAACACAGTCTTTCTAAAAGTTGATATTTTCATAGATGTACCTACCAGGTTTGGGACCAGCCAATATGTTGCCCAAATGGTGGCAATGTGGATGCGGGCATGTGTCTGTTCTCCACTGTGAGAAAGTGGATGGTATTTTGGTTGATCTCTAGGGTGCTCTGCAATGACAGACATTTAAGTTCTGACAGGTATAGCTGTTCACTTGCTTAGAATTAGAGATGCATCGATACCGAGTATTTGGGCGCGTACTAGTAATGCTCCCGATGCCTTTCCCGATACCTGAACTTCTGGTATCAGAAATCCAGGCAGCGAGTCATTACCCAACCCCCTGGCTTCCTTAATGGGACTTCCAGTATCGGTATTCGGTATCGGCGACTACCGGAAAAAAAATATTGGTACTCGATACTGAAAAACTGGTATCGGTGCATCCCTGCTTGGAATGTCTCATTGGTTCATGTTAATGGAAAACAATGATTAAAGCAGACTTCGAGCCAGCTACAAATTGCCTCTGGACATTTGTTTTCTTAGTAGAATCCATTATATGCTGTGCAAATGTTAGCTGACCAGGTGGAGCCTACTGTGGACACATTGTTATGTCTCACAGGGGTTGCTGCACAGTGTGCCCATAGACATTCCCCTCCTGCCTGGCATGGGCTGTCTAAAATTGGGAATGAGAAATAGAAATATAATTTCGGCTTCAGTTATATGCTATATTTACTTTGTCCCCTTTGTAGTAACATTATCCGACTTACAATTTACCAAACGTCAGGAGTCTTATCATTTGGTGGTAAGTACTTGCCTTGAAACATCAGAAAACACTAGTGTGCCAAGTAAATCAGTATACCTAAAAGCATTATCAAAATATTAGCAATAATTGCACATAAGGTGTGCAACTGGAAGAATGGAAGTATTGCTCATAGCAGCTAGGAGGGTGCTTTGATTTTCTAACTTGCTCTAAAAACGGTGATTGGAAGCTTATTGGCTGCAGTGGACAGCACAGATACTATTCCACACTTGTCAGGTTAGCTACATTTTACTGTGATATGAAATAAGATTTATTGGGGGCTTTGGTTATACGGTATGGTCTTTGTTTCCATGTTCAGTAGTTTAAAGTGACATTAAACCCTCAGATTTTTTAACATAAACCAATACTGTAATGTGTGCCTTACTGTAATCCATGGTAGCTTCCCTTCTCTTTGCTGCTCTTCCTTTTACATCCTCATGTCTTCTCATGCTTGCGTAGAACTTCCCTTTTCAGCTCAGGGCCTCTTCCTGTAGTGCTGGCTCAGGTTACAAACAGATACACAGACACCATGTATCCATTCCTGAGACAAGGCAGTCTGCTGCAAAACAGAAGTTCTGCCCAGCATGAGAACAGATAGAGATTTAAAAGGAAGAGTAGCAAAGAGAAGAGGAACTACCATGGATTACAGTAAGGCACACATTACACTATTGTTTTATGTTAAAAAATCTGAGGGTTTAATGTCACTTTAATAACATTTCCTTTTTCTGTAGTGTATGATGAACAGTTATTGATGGAAAATAATTTCCTTTCATTTGTGTACATTTGAGGTACACATGCCATAATTGAATCTGATTTATACAGTGTGTTTTCCCTTTTCCATATTTTATATTTTGTAACATACAAGAAACATTACATTCTGTAGGTTTAACTTGCACAGCTATCAGATGCCTAAAGGGTTATAGAGAACAAGAGCAGGACAGTAATGTGTGTTTAAGAAGCCTTTAATTTACTGTGAAGGTATGAAATGCATTCTCTATAGATGAGAGAGCATCCAAATCACAAGCAGACTTGCATAACATCAGGCTGTGTGGGCTTGTGTTTCCATTTCTATTTCTGACTTGTGTTTGCACCAAATCATTTCACACTTGAAAGTAAATAGCTTGAATCAGTGTAGATGGATTAGGATTCAGCTTTTGTATTAGAGCTGAATCTTGTCAGAAACCTATTTAGGGCTGTTGTGTTTATTCACCTACACAGGCCTTCAAGCTGGTCATACACCTATAGATTATCTGCAGATTTCCTATGGTCAGATGGAAAAAGTGCAACAGATTCCTCCATCTACGCTGAACTGTGTGGATAGAGGAATCTCCCACTGGGCCAAGCTTCAGTATCTTGCTAGTCGGCCCCGCTGGCTCTCAAAATACCTGAACAATCTGATTGGATGCAGGCATTGTTCAGGTGTTTTGACAGCCAGCGGTGCCAACTAGCAACTGAAGCTTGGCCCAGTGGGAGATTCCTCTATCCACACAGTTCAGCGTAGATGGGGGAATCTGTTGCACTTTTTTTCCATCTGACTACAGAATATCTGCAGATCATCTATAGGTGTATGGTCAGCTTTAGGATGATGTCTGCTACAGGCTCAAAACTTTATTTAAAGACAACTCTGGGCTCTACATTTCTCTCTAAGGCTTTTCCCACCTTCTGCCGATTTGAAGGTTCCCCTGCATGATTTTTTTTCTGCAAATTGTAGTGTACCTGCCTGCCTTTTTCAATGTCTTTTGGCTGATCACATGACTGATTAAATAGACCTCTATGTATGTGTGTATATATTGGATTCACACCTGCCAGAATTGACAAAGCTAAACTTTTTTCCTAGGTAAAAAAGATTAAATGAATGAAACCACGTTGGTAAATGAATATGGATAAATGAGCAACCAAAAGTAGAAATATTGATTTTTTTTTTATTTATTTTTTTTTAAGTAAAAGAAATAACAATTAGTAGCTTCAGTGGTTTTTTTTTTTCACATTTCTGAAAAGCCAAGTAAGTGTTTATTAAAGTGTTTGTTAAGGCAAAACTTTTCTTTATAGTTTTGGATAGTGTGGGGAAGGGTTACTACTCCTGTCAGGTTTTTACTGCTATCCAGGGTTTCCATTTACAATCTTCATGTCCTGTTGACGATTTACCAGACCGAAAGTGAGGGGAAGGCTCCAACAGCAGCACAGTAGAGATGGGAAAGGCAGGAACCCCTGTAAGATTTTACTTTCTGTCTGTGTTCCTGTTGTAGATTTTCTTCACTTCCTGTCTGGTAAAACCATTGTTTCTGGGACAAAAAAATATAAGGACTTCTGCTTTAAAAACATTTTATTTTTCACTTTTGGATATTCACTTAAATAGTTAAGATGATTGAAGAAAAACCCTTTTCTCTTCCATCAGAACATGGGAAACTGTAAAACGTACAACTAGAAGAGAAGGAAATGCGGCAGACGGTGAGCAGTTTTCTGTGTATTAAAGGATACAATCTAGCTACATCTATAGTATAATTGTTACTTTTTTGTTGTTTAACAGGTGTAGCAATAATACCTGTACTGCAGAGAACTCTTCATTATGAATGTATGGTGCTCATAAAACAGTTTCGACCTCCTTTAGGCTGCTACTGCCTGGAATTCCCTGCAGGTCAGTGTTGCCTTGCCAGCATAAGTTTTAACTTGTTTTGCTTCAGGGACTGTGCACAGTAATGAGCTTTGGTAACACACACCTTTCTGCAACACATGACACACGATTTCACTTGGTGCTGCAAAGGGAAGCTATTCATTCTGAATAGTAGTCCGACACACTTCCTTAACGAACAAACAAACGTGCGTTGCACTGCTAAAATGAATGGGCTACCCTAACGCCACACACAACAGCAATGAGAACGGACGCTTAAAACCTGTGCCCGGATCATGCACACTATTTATTTTTATTTTTTAAGTATTAAACACGAACATCTTTGACAGTACCGTGCAAAATGAGGGCATACAGGGTCTGTAACATTATTACAATATACAGATCCCTGAAACCTTAGCAATGATGTTGCATCATCCATGAAGACCTATATTTGTACTGATACATGTTCATCAGTGTACTGGGTTCCTCTTGCCAGGTCTTATTGATGAGAATGAGACCGCAGCACAGGCCGCACTTCGAGAACTGGAGGAAGAAACCGGATACAAAGGAGAAGTTATGGAATGCTCCCCTGGTGCGTTAAACTTTGTTTTTTCCATAAGAATAACTTACTAGTATTGTTACTGTGTTGCTATTTTTAAAAGTTCATCAATAACATTTCTTGTAAGCAAGAACTTAAAGGAGAACTATGGGGTTAGGGCTTTTCCCCATAGTTCTCAGGGTAACGGCAGTACACAAAATAGCGTCCTCCCGTCACCCTAAGCTCAGTATACTGCAAGCTACAGTTCACGGTATACTGAGACGCCACAGCTGAAGCGCATCCCAACAATTATGTCTGGATCCGCCCAGCTGCGTGAGTGACAGCTGGCTCTGCCTATGTAGAGGCAGAGCCAGCTGTACTCGCCCCGTCCGGTCCGCCAGTCAGCGCTGGAGGATCGGAGGGGGGAATCCAGCCCCTCCCCTGTCACGGCAGAGAGCTGTGACAGGATCGAGAGGTGAGCGAACGCCCGTATGTGTTCGCTCACTTCTCGATCTACTGAGCCGACCTGTGACAGTCTCATTGTCACAGGTCGGCTAGAACTGAGGTGAGTGAAAAGCACTCACCTCATAGTTCTCCTTTTAATACTCACCTGTCCACGCGGCTGCCAAACTCCTCTGCATTGGTAATGCTGCTGAAAGAATTGTCGGCAATCGGCACACCTCCCAGATGTTTCAGATGCATGGTCCCCTGCTGGACTCTGCGGTTCTGTCTGACATGAAGTGATGTGGGGGTCAGCAGATGGAACCACATGGCGCAGCGAATAGGGGGGGTGGTGGATGCAACACTCCTAGAAGTTCAGGGGCATGGGCACGAGCTAAAGAGACCTCCACCAATTGACTCCATGTTCAATATTTTGCTTTTCTTTTACTTGTTTAGTGTCTTGCTTGGATCCTGGCTTGTCAAATTGTACAACTTTTGTTGTAACTGTGCACATTAACGGAGATGATAGTGTAAACATCAAACCTAAAGCCAAGCTCGGTAAGTGAACTTTAATGGGAGTTTAGTGACCAAAGCTGAAATCTTGTTGTAATTAGACGTAGAGATGCAAATATTTTCACTTTTTTGGAAATAAACCAGAATTACTATTTGCCTTCCTGTCCCAGGTGTTTATTATTACAGGATTCTTTGTGGTGACATCAGAAGATGTTGAGGTGCATGTAAGGTTCACCTCTCAACCATTTAGTGTCTTTATAGTTGAACCTACTATCTGCTGCCACTTGCATGTAAACCATAAGAAATCTTAAGAAGTTAATATAGTTAGTAAGAAATTCATTTGAAATTTGGTCACAATGTAGCTGCCTCCCATGCTTTGTTTTTCTACCCACCGTACTTTATATGTAACGTGGTGACATGTTACAATCCAACCTCATATAAATTTACAAACACGTTTGTAGTCTGGGGGCTTACCTCAATTTAAATTTATCAGGCAGGTCCTTGCATGACATAGGGGTCTATTCACGAAGCTGCCGAGGGCAGACGAGTGAATGACCGATCTGAAGTGAAGTGAGCCGAACGCTGTTCGGCTATTCACTTCAGGCTGGTACGGCTAATTTCAGCCGTACATCAGCTGAAATCAGCCGTACATCGGCTTGCTTCGTGTGGCTTCGGGTCGGCCGAACATG